CCTGAGCCGCGCAAATGCGAAATCCCAAGCCCAGGTTGAGTGCCCCACATCCATCAGGGTTTCATTGACGATGCTGACCTCGGAGTTTTCAAAGAAGCTCCGAGAATCCTCGTGAAGATCCTTGTATACAGAAACTAAAGCGGTTTACGCCCGCGCATCTCGGACTTGCCAGACGAGGTCTCTGTGTTCTGGTGCACAACACTAAGAACTGATTTCGCCGGACCAAATTATTGCTACACTACGACAGAGCCGGATGGAAGCAGAGGAACAGGAAGTGAAGGCCATGTACTACTCCAGCTATGCCATCTTCAACAGTGCATTTTGACTGCTACAACTCGGCGGTGGTCAGCCCGGTTTAGGGTTTCGGAAGGGCTCAAGAATCGGGGTCACAGTTTAAGGGTCAGGGGTTTAAGGTTGAACGTTCACAGAGTAGTAGCGCTTGGAGCTTTTGGCTACTTTTTGCTGCTGCCGGACATGGCTCGACAATGTAAACCGTAAAGTCTGGAGAGTGCAACGCCCTGGTGGCGTGTATTTCTCGGTAATGTAGTGGTTTTCACACGAGTTTTTGCACCCAGAATTTTAAGCGTTGTGTTGCCTCATCCAGGCATTGCACCCTTGATTTTGAGTCTTGGGCATGTCACCAAGTAGGAGTTTGTTGGGGAAGAGGGAGGAGGTTTGCCATCCAGCATCTCCATTGAAGTTGAGGTGCGTGATCTGGCATATCATGTCAAAATCATTCCGAATCCATCGCAACCCCTGGGTGTGTATCCACATATGCATCTGACTTTAATGGATGCGTGCTTATGGAAATGTGTATATTTACATGTGCATACGAATGTTGGCCTGTAACTTATTGTATATATCATGTCTTCAACTCGGGAATGAAATTGTGGCGTGGGCTGAGCATAAATGCTAAAAGACTATATTGACAGGCAGACCGTCATCGATGTGTACAACCGCATCTGAAGCCGTGGCGAAAGGAATGTCTATACTCCTACACTTATAAAGCTCTGAGGGGTTTGCCACCTTTGAAAGAGTTTTTGGGTTTGCTACCCATCATCTACTATTGAAGCCTTGGATTGAGAGTGCAACATCTTCTAGTGTGCCTGTATTTGGGAAAACAGTCATCGATTTAAGGATCCAGCTGTGGTTCCGCCACTCATCGAACTTCTACGGGGGTTTGGCTCATTACATCCATGTGCGGCATTGTGTTTCAGCCGAATGTCTTCCAGTAGAGTTTGGATGCTCTGGACACTCATCATCCTTTTCGGTACTTAGGTTCGCTACACACTATATATCTTTCGTGGATAAGTGTAGCCCGTGATATGTGCTAAAATGTTCAGACTCTGGTTTTTATTCTGGTGGTCTCCCAGCATCCCCTACTGTGATTTGCATTTCTGGCTGGGCGGGCCACACCTTTTAAGGATTAGCTTACGGTGTAATAGGGCATGTTAATCAGTTATTCTATTGAGGACCTGTTGTTCGCCATCATCCACCCACTTCCATGTAAATCCCAAAGAAATGTAATTACCCATTTCCGTGATGCACACAAAGTTATATGTGTGTGTGTATGTATGTACACATGTGTCATCCACCCATAATATGCTGGCAAGGTTCCAATTTACATCGTATGTGCAACTACAGAGTGGCCTTGCGGTTACATACCCAGGTACTTGCATGTATATCACCAAAAACCTATGTATATGTGCATATATATATATATATATAGAGCGAGAGATATGCATATACATGGGTGTGCGCGTGCATGGGCTTCCAAAGTTCACGAACTTGTATATGGTTGCATAGGCTTCGAGAGTGCATGAACTTGTATACGTGCATATCTATATGTATATACATATATATGTACACACACATATATATATATATATATACATGTATATGTAGATGTATATATGTACAGGTATGGAGGACGTGCTTCTACACAGATTTGAACTTCCGCATCCTGTACCCACCATGCCCATACGGGGTTTGGGATAGCAGCCTGAGGCCCTCCATTTTCCTTTGAGTGCATGGCTGCCTAAATGCCTCATTGTTGCATACACATATGCTCGCATATTTCAGAAATATAGCACATGTTTCCGTGATGCTTATGTATGTACGTATACCCGTGTATGTACATATGTATTAAGCATATATGTATGTGTGCATAAGGATTGGAAAAGCATGAACATGGAACAGCATGAGCATGTGTGTATGTAAACATACACATCCATATGCAGGTGTGTATGCATGCCCGCATGTCATATACCAGCATGCATACACAGACGTGTATATAGACACTTGCATACATATATATATATATGTAGGTACAAACGCCTATATACCAAGGTTGGCTTGCAGGTAATTATATATGTTCCGCCTCAAATGCAGCAAGTATTTTGTAACTTGGAAGTTTTGCTGCATTGTCTAAGTTTCCGGGTGAGGGTCCAATATCTTCTACGATGTCCAAGAATGTTGGAAGCCAATGACGACTTTCAGTCTAAGGTTTTGGGTTCGCCACCCAGCATCTCTTGAGACGATTAGGACCATCATGTGCATTTGGGTTCGAGGCCCAATAACTCCTTCTGAACTTGGGTCCCGGTACAAGGATCTTATTCCCATCATACTTGTACTGTGTAGAATGAATTACCCATCATACTTCTGTCATGTATGAGTGTCATCAGTAACCCATGTCACAGTTTTCAGGTGTTGGAGCCGCTTTCCTAGGTGGTGGACAACAATAGCAAGCGTAAAGTCTTGACAGAGGGATGTTTCGTTGGATAGGACAGGATTGGTGGCATACTGGAAACCCTGAAATGATTGAGCAACACTGGATTGGGAGTGCCAAAGGCCGAAGGCCCCAGGCATCCTCTGCTTACAGACATGCGCCCTCCGGATCTCCGTCCAGAAGGCCCCTGGGGGCGGGGGGGGGGCGCAAAAAAAAAAAAAAATGGACCATAGATTTTGCCAGATTTTTTTTTTTTTTTTTTGGCGCCCCCGCCCCCCCCCAGGGCTCCAGGGCTCCAGGCCTCCATACTCCAAGGCCTAGAGCCACACCTTAAGGCCATGCATGCCCTTATGTCCTTGAAAGTTTGTCCCATAACTTATCTCTCTCGGACCGGTGTTCGGTTATGCCCGAACATTTTCAAATGGTTTGGTGGAATTTGTTGTCAATGCACAACACGTCGTAGAATGTTGTATGCTGCTAAAACACTGTTGCGGGAAGCGAAGAGCTTGCTGAGTTTGCCATCTGAGAGTGCAACTGAAAACACGAACACACGAAAAAGCACGCCACCAGGGCGTGATGTTCTGAAAGTCTAGCGGGGGTCTAGCTCGAGCAGATGTCAAAATGGGTCGAAAAGTGATACTGAAGGGAGCAACAACAGCATTGCAGAGGCCTGCAACCAGTTCGTCCATCGGCATAGCAGAACTATAAATAAACAACCGTCAAAAGGTCAGGTTTTTCTGAAACTCTGCAGCTATGCTCTGTTCTGAACGAGAAACCCCCAAGCCTGGCACTGAACACCAGGCCTGTCTTATCCTAAACCCAGACATTCTCGGGGCGGTGCAGTGGCGAATGAAAGCGCAGTGTTCGACAGCTCCTGGGTTTGGGGCTTCGAGTTGAGGACGTACAAGAAGTTGCAGGAATCTTGGCGTTTAGGGTTAAACGAAGAAGCTGGTGGTTTAGGTTTTCACCACCAGCGACTTGGCTGCCCGAGGGGCACCAGCCACCATCATTGCACATCGTGATGCCGGAATGCGCAGGGCGGACTCAAGTTACGTGACTCGAGTCCGGCAGCTTTCCTGGAGGTATCCGTAAACCGACGTGCCCCAAAAGTTGCACCGGCCTAAACCTATCGACGCTGCAGGTGTGCAGATTGAGTTCTCGCCTAAAGGTTTCAGGTTGCATCAAGAAGAAACGGTGTTCAGGGCTGCACTTAATGCATATGCTACGGATCATTGTCTACAGAGCTCGATGTGGCTCGATTCATCGGCTGGGTGTTGTTCTCAACCAGAAGGGTTTTTTGAACGCCGATACAACTGTTAAAATCGCTGAAAGGGACAATGCTGCAGAATAACGAAGCCCACGAAGTGGCTGCGAAAGGCTGACAACCTGAAGCCTGAACCGCCCTAAACCCGATTACACTCTACGTCCAAGAAACCCCTTGAATGCCGACGGCCCCAGACACGGCACCTTTCCTCTCGCTAACATGTCCACCCGGCCAAAAGGTCAAAGCATTGAGGTTTAGGCTTCGTCGTGCTGGGTTAGTTAGACCCAGAACAACCCTGAAGCACAGTCTTTCACATCCACGGAAACCCGCTTCTGCTGTGTGGAGCTGTGGGCAGCGCCTGGGTGTTGAACACCGATATTTTCTTGACCTTGGCATGCGACAACTTAGGGTTTGGACCCTATAGAGCCTTGCTAGAACCCATGAAGCAACAAGGGCTGTCGGAGAGTCCCCGGACGAAGCAGAAGCAGGTGCAGACATGAGTACATTGAGGGTGCCCGGTGTCCAGCACCAGTTCTGATAGGTAGTTTTTGGAACTCGCAACATGGTGTCTAATGTTTAGGCTTTGGGGGCCTTGCTGTGAGGGCTTGTCGAATCTTTCTTGGAACGTCGCAAGGACAGGAACATGAACCGACACTCGCCACAACAGGATTCATAGTCATCCTAGAAACTCTTAAAATCGGGCATCCTTGATCCTTCATTAAGATCCTCAAACTGCTGAAAGCCCCCACAAAGAGATTCTATCTTCCAACTCTTGAACTTTAACTGGGCCTTGAGGATCGACCTCCGAGGGTTGACTCCAGATTCCTATAAGGGTTTAGTATAGGGGCCTTAATAATTTGAAGAGGGTTTTGGGGCCCATCATATATAAGGCCTTTGGAGGGGTAGGATTATAGTCCGACTTCAAGTCCATCACAGCTGCTCTTTTGCAACCGTGCATGACTCGGCGCAGGCAAGATCCAGCGTCGCGCGCCTTAAAACGTTAACGAGCTAATTAGGCAGTTTTCTGACCTTCTGCAGCTCGGATTGCGGCAGCCAGTAGCCTGAGAGAGGAGGAAGCTGCGGCGTGTGTTTCGAGATACCTAGAATTGGAATCCCGATGCCCATCACCACGAACCTCCTCAACCTAAGACATTCCACCAGACCCCAGGCCCAAGCCCACAAGCATGTACAATGTAGTCTGCTCCAGCTCAAAACGAACAAAACCTTAAACTCGAAGCTCAAAACAAACGAAACCCTCAACCCCAAAGTAGCCTGAAGCCCTTTTTCAGCACGGACTGAGGTGCCGGCCAGCGCCCACGAAACTCGTAGCCCCGTTTTAAGGCCAGAGTTCGAAGGAAAAGCTGTAGAAGACCACTGACTGAAGCTTAAGCTGAAGATCCCTCGAGAGAAAAGAACAATCGCAATCACCCTCAACTGCCTGTCGTTACGCTGAAACCTAAGTGTCGAGCCGGAAACTTTCCAAAGCCCCTACATTAATCCCTATGTCCAAACAGAATTCTCTGACCCACCCCGAACCCGAATTCCCTGCACCCCCACTAAACCGAAACCCTAAGCCATACACCCTGCAAGCCTAAGCCCCGAAAACCCTGGCTGGAAAAACACAAATTATAGTATCCTTAAGGGAGGGGGGTCCAAGGGGGGTATATAGCCTAGTGATCCCTAATTCTCCCTAGTACTCCCTAAGGTTCCCTTACGGTCCCCTAAGGAATGCTTATACCCTCCCCCCTTGAACCACCCTCCCTTAAGGATCCTATAAACAAACAACGCCAGCAGGCCAGGTTTGCACTGAAGCTGCAGGGCACCACTTCCCGGATCCTTCGCCAAGAATCCAAGCGACTAGGGCTCCGAAGGGCTGGGGCTCAGAGTCAGCTGACGGTCACTTTGGAAACTACTTTGGGGTGGGCACAGAGCCGTGTTGCTAAAAAGACCCTAGGCTTGCTTGGCCTTTATTCCAAAACCCTGAACTCCGAACCGCAAACCCTCGAGGTCCACCGCCGTGATCATCGTGTCCATCCACTGGGCGTACGTGGCGGAGAAGTACTGGACCTAGGTTGTAGGATTTCAACTTCAGTGCTTCAGCGGGCTTCACTCAGGGCATAGCCCTCAGCCCGACATCCTAGGGTTAAGGGTTTAGGGATTTAGGGTTTTACGCGCTCGCAACTCGGACACAGCCAGGGTTTCGGGCTTCGCTCTCACAACTCGGACAAGCAAGGCGAGGTTCCAAGACTTTAGGGGTCCTCGGCCCATACCCCATAACCTGAAACCCGGGACCACCGAAAAATGCGAAACGACTGAAAGAAAGGAAGCCAGCCTTGTCCCCCTCGGCATACAGCGGCGTACGAGCCCCAGAGGATGCAGCCCGGCTCCGGGCGATGTCCTTAAATTCTGGTATTCTCTCTGTCTCTGTCTCTGTGTCTGTCTCTGTCTCTCTCTCTCGCTCTCTCTCGCTCTCTCTCTCTCTCTCTCTCTCTCTCTCTCTCTCGCTCTCTCTCGCTCTCTCTCTCTCTCTCTCTCTCTCTCTCTCTCTCTCTCTCTCTCTCTCTCTCTCTCTCTCTCTCTCTCTCTCTCTCTCTCTCTCTCTCTCTCTCTCTCTCTCTCTCTCTCTCTCTCTCTCTCTTGTGGGGTAGATTTAGTCGGATGTTGGGTGTAGGATTTTCGGTTTAAGGTCATTCCTTGGCCTATCAATTTCGGCATGTGCATGTCGAAATTTGGGGTGTCCAGCCTCAAGTGCTGGACGCTTCTTTTGCTAAGCCCTGAGGCCCTGAAGCACCGAACCACGAAGGACTAAGTCCCTACCAAACCGCACCCTTGACGCCGAACGCTTGTTGCAGTCTCTTCACAGAATTTAGTCACTTGAGTTTCGTCTTGATTGTTGTTTAAGTTTACAAGACGGACATCAAATATGACAGAGGAGCCATCATCTCCAGAGCACGCTTGAAATCCCAGAACGTTACCTGAGGCGCTTCTTCGCGGGTTCTGGCTTCTCCGGCCTTGATCCTTAGCCTTAGCCTTTTCACGCCTCTCTTCCTCTCAATCACTATCAGTAGGTTACCAGCGCTCCTGGTCCTCGTGGACGCTAGCCATGCACTTGCTTTCGACCGTAGCCTAAACTATCAGTAAACCTCAACCGGCAGCAGGGCCTCCCGGTTTGCTAAAGACGGGTCAGGCCCGGCGACGGCGAAACCTTCACTAAATCTAAACAAAGCCAAACCCCCAAGAATCCTTAACCCGCAAAAAACCCAGACCTTAACTCTAAACCCTGGGCTCGTGTCAGGTGTCGGGCATGGCCTGACCTGTTCCCAGCCTGACACGTAAGGCAATCTCGCAGCTTCACCCCTGGCGCCCAATGTATGGAAACTCCCAGCTATGCCGACTCAGCTGGGCTTTGCCTATGCGTCCAGACTGGACTCTTCTGTAATCGCCTTAGACATCCCCATGAGCCAACCACCTCAAGGCCCCGAAGCGTACTGAGCTGTTGGCGTTTCAGGGTTCTGTGTGGGGTCTAGGGGTTGAGGGGTTTGAGCTTGAAGAAATTCATCCAGGGTCCCGGGGCTCAGAGTTTAAAGATTCAAGGTTTGAGGCTTAGGCTTAGGATTTATGGGCTTGTGGATTTTTGGACAGCTCCCCCAAGCTATTCCCATCCCCAACATCCCAACCCCCGCAGTTCTAAAACTCTAATCTCTGAACTTCTTAACTGGCATCCATTCGTCAACACCCTGTCCGAGGCACTCGTCCAGTCCGGCTCAAGTCCATCCGGTCCATGATGTCGGCCACAGTTCCTTCCAAAGGTTCACGGTTCAGAGTTTACGGTTAAGGGTTGAGGCACTTGAAGGTTTGGTTTCGACGCTCACACTCGCACAGGCAGGCAAGGCTCCACATAATCCATCGTATCTCCATTACAGCCGAATACGTTTAGTGTTTGGTACGTGTATGGGAGATAGGGTTCAGGGTTCAGTCTTGTTTAGGGCCTGTTTCAGCACTCACTGCGACAAGCCTGGCGAGGTTCCTGGTACGGCGATGCTCCGGGTATGTTTAGTGGGTTCAAGGTGCCGGGTCTTCTATTGGGTTTGCTTTAGGGTTCAGGGTTCAGACTTCTTGAAAGTGTGTTTTGGGATTCAAGATGGGGTCAGAGGTTCAGAGTTCAGGGGTGCAGGGTTTAGGATTCCAAAAACTCGGGGTTCAGGGTGGTCTAGCAGAATGTTTAGGGGCCAAGCCTCAGCTTCAGGGGCTCAGGATTTCGGAGTGATTTATCCAATCCGTGAGCCTGGAGCTAATATTCCCAGAAACCCTGAACCTTTAGGCCATGCTATCCAGTCCAACACCTGCACCTAGAATCACAGTGCTCCAGGCCCTACGAGTACAGAAAGCCAATACCACTGTCCCCGACCCAGAAAACCAAGGCCTCGTGCCCAAACCCAAGACTTTAAGCCCAAACCTTCAGTCCTAAACCCGCACCACTTAATCCTTGAACTTTCCCTCCTGGGGTCTATCAGACATCCCTCGGTTCGACGCCCTGTTCGGGGCTTAGGATTCGGGAATCTAGGATTACCCATGGTTGAAACCAGGTAGATTGGGAACGCGACCTGAAATTCAGTGGGGGGGAACTCCAAAATTGGGCAGCATCTTGGAGCACGTAGTAGTAGAAGTCTGTGTCAGATTAGTAAGGACTCCGGCTTACCACCGATATTGATCCGTGCGAGATGCTCTTTCCCACAACCTGGTTGGAGCATGTGTTATGCTATTGCCACTACTTCAAGACTTCAAGTGCCAAAGATTTCTGCAACTGTGCGACTGTCTGCCATGATCTCCCTGACCTTGGGCTTGCTCATCATGGCCTCGTCGAAACCCTAAACTCAGGCAGTCTGAGTCTATGCAATTTCTGCAGGGTCGGGCTTCGGGTACTCTGAAGAATCGAAGCCATGGACACCTTGAAATCCTCCTTCAACCTTTGCACCTCCCTAAAACAGCCCGAAATGCAGTGCTGTTGAAGGAGGCAAGCTGGTCCACTCGCTACTCCTCGGAAACCTACATCCCTGCAGAAGTTGTTGGCATGTGGACTCTCACCCTCGGTCCGTTCCAGGCGATGTGGCTCAGGTCGGAGGGAACTCTTGATAGCGCGGACATTGCTCCAACGGATTTCCCCTTTTGGGTTCCGGGCACCAAGAATTACGGATGAGTGCAGGCTTCGTGTTCAGAACCTATATAGCTCTAACCCCTCATACTCCTTTCAAATGAAGTTTCGATCTGTTCCAAAGGCAGAACGGCCTTGATCTCGTTGGCGTCCAGGCTGTTGCTGTTGTCTGCATCCAGCTCTTTAAAAATTCGCCACCTGGGTTCTCGCGGCGTTGGCAGGTTAAACGGCTGTCTGCACCCCAGTCCATCTTGCATTGCTGTACATGTCGTCGTTTACATCGTTGTCTTTTACACAGGCCCGGGGCAAACGAAAGTATCGATCTTCTTAAGCCTTTCTTGGGGCATCTTCGAAATCGCAGAGCGGATGGTAACGGTAATGATGGCCATTGTGTAGTGGTGACGATGACGATAATGATGATCATCATCAAAATGTGAGGTTGGTGGCTATGATGATAAAGACGAAGACGGAGATGGTCATGGTGGCCATGAAGAGAAAGAAAGCGATGTTGAGGACGAGGATGATGAGGATGATGCCGAGGTTGAGGGCCACGGCAGAAAGCTAAGCTGGACGCAGTTTTGTGATGCACAACAAAAGCCTGGCTCTTTGATGGAGACTTCAGCTGCTGCGGCAAAGGGAGCTAGCAGCTGAAGCCTGCTCAGCTTCTGCAAAGTTTTCGCTTTTGGTGTAATAGTAAGATTAATATTCATAGTAATAGTAATTTAATAGTCATCAGCCATCGAAGGACCTTCAGCTGCCAGATCACTGGCTCTTTGGGGTCTAAGGTGATGGCCCAGCACCGGTTAAACCGTTGAGTACACCAACTTCTGGCGCTTGGGTGTCCTTCGGGCATTTGGGTGAAGGGTTTCGGGGGTTCTCGGGCTTGCAGCCAAGCCACAGAACTTCGTCATTTTCAGCCTGCCGGTTCACGCGGACAGAGATCGACAACGAACAGTATGAATCCGAGTCTCAAGGATTACAATGTCCTATGGGGATCTCAAGCCCTTTACCCAAGCCCTGCAACTTAAACGCAAAAGCCCGGTAGGCCACAGAGCACAGGGCTCGATAGCTGTTCTTTCGGTAGGACTTTGCTTCATTTTTCTCCGGCTTCTCTTTACAGGCTTTCGCATGAGTTCAGACTGTGCTCAACCTTGCAACAGCAAACCAAGAGCCCTAAACACCACCCCGTGCATGTGGCGCATGCCATGAGGCCCTACATCTGGTCAAACTAGGGCCTCTATGTGTGTTCAAGTTCGGGGGTTTTGGTTTGGGGCTCGGGTCTTCGGTCTTGAGACAGAGGCTCAGTCCTGAGCTAAAAGGATCCGACCAGCCCTATCCATTAAGGAATAGATTCACTAACTACTGCAGGCCCTAGGCCATTCCTCAGCCCGAAAAGCCCACCGTCGACTCCAGGCTCCTGCCTTCTTCGCCGAGATCATCTCGGCCATGAACCGGCTGTACGTCAGTGTGCCGCTGGAGCCTAGGAATGCGAGCAGGGCACAGGAGGGGCCGTGGCCCAAGAAGTCAGGGTACCCTTTGCCCCTGGAGCCTTTTGCGGTTCGAAGGTGTCGGGGCGGGGTGTAGCTTTTTAAAGAAATCAGAGGAGCTTGCTGCGCTTTGAGGCTCAAATCTTGCATCGACCCTGTCCTTCCTAAGTTTCGGACACAGGAAGCTGAACTCTATGCTCCGTTTGCCGCAGACCTCAAATCCACCAGGACCTGAAAACACTAAGCCGAGGAGCCCAACAATGTTTTCACCAGCAGGTCGATCTGAGCCTTGGCTCGCTAAGCAAAGCAGCCTTGACACCTCGAGGGGGTGCTTCCGGTCTTAGCTCTTGTCTGTCGTCGTGTGTTCGCTCTCACTGGGCCGGCTCTTTTCCTTGCTTTGGCCTTAGTTCCTGACAGTACTCAGGGTTCAAACGCTGCTGCGAAAATCTGAGCAGCAGTGTCGGGCTTACGGCTTACGACGTCAGGGTTGGGGGTTCGCTTAGGCGTCACCATCGACGAACATGCACCCTCCGCATGAGTGTGGCCCGTGATGTCCGAACGCGTTCGGTTGCGCAGTGGGGTCCGCTCAGTGGATGATTTTTTTGAGAAGCCCTGGCCTGGCAGAGCTCCATGTTAGCTGAACTCTCCTAGATATGGACTGCTGCATACCAATGACTTTTGAGTAGGACTCTGCCTTCCCGTGCTGCTGCAAGAGTCACAGTTAACAAACCCTGACCCAACTGTGTGCAGCCGAGTGTTCCGGGTCCATCTTGCCGGACAAAGCCTGCGAACCCCAAAAAAAGCGTCGCACGGGGTTTGGAGCAAGTTTGTTGGAGCGCTTGAAGCATGAGCTACATCAGATAGCATCAGATATCTGCCAACCCACCAGCGGAACAGCACGACCTTCGCAAGAAAACGTGACATACTTCGACTAATCATGGAGCCCACCAGCAGCCAGATGCCTTTACTCACCGCTGCGCGATGTAGGGCACCCTACAGCTGCGCATCAGCGCGTTTGGCACCCCATGTCTTCGAATCCGGAACCCCTAAGCCCGAAGACGGTCCCCTTGACCCGACATTCCCCCAATTCACGCACAGCATAAAGTTGCCGCATAACTCCGCGCAAATAACGAAGTGAACTCTACTTACCGCCAATACAAAGCAACACCGAACACTAAAAAATCAAACACTGGAATACATACATATATGTGTGTGTGTATCTGGAGCACATACTTGCACACCACTTCTATACTTGGACAAAGCCCCCTTCATCAACCCCCATCAAGACCAGGACCAACGGCCCCGACTTGCTGTCCTTTCGGGCTTCAGGCTCCGTGACCACACCGCTGTGGTCGGCGTCCAACTGTGCCTCCGTATCACCGGGGATCGATGTTTACGGCTAAAAATCGACAGATGGGCTCCTTAACAACATGGACCTGAAGGAGTCGGCATAGGCGCGTGGGGTGGCACTGGCATCGCGGGGCGTACCCTCGATGGATCAATGCTGAGTCAAGCCGCACTGCATGCAGCAAAGGTCTCTGCACTACAGCTCCTCGAAAATTGTGCCAGGCAGCATTCGTGCACAGGGCTCAAGCCGTCCACGGTTTGGGATTTTAGGGTGTAGACGGTGTAGATTTGGGGTCTGGGCTCTGTGTATATAAAGATCCAAGTGCACGACAGGATCTGCAACCCAAGCTTTGGCTGGCCAGAACCTGCACTGCAAAACCTAAGCTCGAACCTGAAATCGTAAGATCATAGTCCGAAGCCCCTGCATAAACCCGAAACCCATGCCCCAAGACATCGCAGTCAAGGTACGAAAAGTGAGTTGAGCTCCTGGAGTTTGCGGAACATGCAGGTCTCTCCCGTTTTACATCGGAGCATTCGGGTTGGGAGGTTGAGAAAGCTGCAGGGGACCTGCAAGGTCAGAAACGGTGGTATCCTACCGTTTCTCACAATTACCTTTGATAAGTTTCGTAAGTGCGCAGGAGTACCACGGAATTAACTACATAGCTCTTCATGCTCCGGAGGTGGCAGACTTTGGGTCAAAGTTCGAGGCGTCCGAGGGCTTAAGGCTTTTAAATCCTGAACATTTCCGACTGCTCGGTCTTCCGGAACAAAGACTGGGATAGGCTTCCGGACGGTTCAGGGCAGAAGTTGTGGGCGAAATCATCCTTGCTTAAGGGCTGTGGCATGTGCCAAATCGAAAAAAGCACGTAGTAGAATCTGTAACTGGGTGTTCGATGCAGGGGGCTGGCTATAGAATCCTTGAACTGCATGAAACCAGCACTCGGAATCCTTTATCCTTGAACCCTTTCCAACTAGGACCTGTAGACACTCAACAGGCTCAGGAAGGTCGCAAACGCCCCAGTAATTACGTCTCAAACACGACTCTACCAAACACCTCAACCTAACACAACAACATACTGGACCGCCTCTCCTGCACGTTCCGTCAGACCAAGCTTTTTGCACTCGCGCGCGACGGACATTGGCGCAATTAGCGTCACAGCATCCCTATCAAGCCCTCCTCCAGTCATCGCACTGCCACATCCAAGGATACTGTCGTCCCACTGACATGGTTCCTTCAGTAAGCATCGAATCATTGAATATCACAAAATAGCTGGGCTTCAGACCAGGATTTCCGCTTGCCGGGAATCGTCTTCTACATTTCGCGGGAACTACACAAGGAAACGACAACCCTGGCAGACTGCGGCTGCAGTGCAACGACTTAGACGGGTGCTTGCCAAGCTTGCTCTGCAGGCTTCGCTCGTGGACTACAGTCACTACCGGCCAGGCCAAATCCAGGGGAGTGTCTACCAAGGTGTCAAGATGCAGTCTCAGATGCGGTAGGGTTGTCATTTAGTTGCAAGGTGTAAAGCTACCTTACTATTACAGTGGTCGTGCCTGTATTCGTGGCCTGGCTCAAAGGTTCTCGCCACCGATGCGGCCCACACTAAACCAGAGGTCGGGGTCTTCATGGAACACCATGAGCTGCCTGGCGAAATCGTAACACTCCTCCAACGTCGGAGGCGGAGGCAACACGACCTCCGTTTCAGGGCGGTCCGCGCGCTCTTTGAGCCGTCGGGCCTCCTTCACAAGGGCCTTTAGCACCGGAAAATATTGCATGACCTGGCGTGTCGAGGACGTCAAAAACGAAGAGTCGCTCTGCAGAAGCTCCAACGCCAGCACTGTCGCCACGGAGAGGTAGACTGCCCTGTCGCGGTTCCTCTTTGTCGACGCGAGCCCGACTGAACTCAGCCTGCTGCCGTCAGGGCGCTCAATCCAGGCTACTGCTGTCCAGGTCTCTGAGCGCCAAATTCCTTCCGAGTGGAGCTGCTGCAGGATGTTGCTTTCATACCTGTCGTCCCTTTTGATGTTGTGTTTCTGTTGGCCAACTATGCGCAGCATCTCGTCCACCAAGTTGGATGCGACCTGGCCCATCGCCTCCGACCCCACTAGTCGCAGGCAGATGAGGCGAGAGGGCTCGCGCAAAAAATAAAGAAGCGGCTGGTCTGCACGTGGCGCGTTCTGGAGCTGCACCTGAGGTGCTCTTGGCACCGGCTGCTCCAGTGGTGGATCTGGCACCGCAGCAGGGCGCGCTGGCAGGGCCCGCAGGCCGTCCTTGTCCAGGTAGGCAATGATGCCGCTGGCGCCGAGGGCGAACCTGATCAGCGAGCCCACCTCCTGCACCTGAACCTGGGCGCCACGTGCGAAGCCGAGTTCGGCAAAATCGTTCACAAGCAGCTCGGCAAGCCCACCAGCCTTCAAAGGAACTGGGCTCGAAGCCATGGCTCACAGGCGCTGGAGCTCAAAGCTTAGTTGTTGTAACGCTGCTTGCTGATGGATTCCGACTCAGTGACGAACCTACGATGCAGGGTCTGTTGCTTGCTCACCACATCTGTACATCCTTGGGGGTTTTGTCTTGCAATATCGGTAAGATTTGGCTTCGTAAGTTTTGGCCTACACGGCTCCAGGAGATTCGAGTTTGGGATGCAGGGCCTCCGGCGTCTTCCTTCTCGTCAAGCTTCGCGGTGGCAAGCTACGATGTCTTCTCCTCCAGACACTCTCCTGACCTCGTTTGCAGTATTCAACACAAACCGGTAAGTCCTAAGGTATGGTACGTAAAGATTCGTTACGACGGCTCTCGGAAGTCTGAGCTCTGTCTTGCAAAGATTTCTCAGAATGTGCCGAAGGTTCGCGAATAAGGTCGTGGGAGTTTGGCGGTTAGAGACAATCCAAATGGTTGGAGTCGGCAGCGTCGTCCAGCAAGCAAGGACGCTGCCAGTTTCCCACTATTGAACGAGACTTCCAAGATCGTGAGTTTGGAATCAAACCTACGATGAGGAACATGCAAACTAATAGATGTCTTCGGCAGAACAGGTCCTTCAAGTGTGTCAGGTTCTCTTTGGAAACCATGTCCATCATGAGGGCTCGGTGAAGATCGCTCCTTTCATGCTCGCACTCGAAACTCTGCTCTGCCAAACCCTCAGACCGGCTAGCCGGGTTTGTGCACCTTCCTAGGGTTTGGGGTTTAGGGGTTAAAGCTCAGGGTTTAGGGTTTAAGGTTTCGGGCTTGAGGCTCCGAATGGCTTGGACATCCCAAACAAAAGCTGAACCCCTCAGCGATTGCACCTCATGCAACTGACCTTCCCAACCCTTGAACCCCTCTACACCCCACTATCGCCAAAGACCCCATCCCCCCATGACACGTATATGAGGATACAAAATAAGGACCCAAACTGCAGACACGGCGGCATGGGTTTGAACTGGCCAAGGTCTGCGATCGCCTGGCAACACCATGAGAGTCTTCAAGGCTGAGCGAAATACGGTTCGGTGTTCAGGGTCCTACATTCAGGGTTTAGGGCTACAGCTGATACCTTCGAGGCTTGGGGGGTCCGGGTGGCGAGCGTTCAGGTCTCTCGGCCGAGTTGGAACTTCGGGCCCAGCGCCAAATGTCTGAAAGGAGCCCGCGACGCCATTCGCATGCTGGAACTTCTCGACTCTATTTCTCGCAGGGGCTTGGTTCGTGTCTCCCGAAGAAATCCTAGCAAAGCCTGCGGTCATGGGTTGAGGAGGCTAGTGTTCAGGACCCCGGAATGAGCGTAGCCTGAACTTCTGACTTACTAGCCGTTCGAGCCCGATGGGGGCTTCACAACCCAACAGGCTTCAAGCTTTAGGGTCTGTGCCATGGAGCCTACTGCAACGTAAAGCCTGGTTGGTAAGGTGCGCGACTCTCTGACGGAACCCGATCTTTGCGCCTCTTTGGAGACCGGGCTGCTCGCATCCTGCAGCAATGATCTGATGCCCTACCCACGGCCCGTGAACGCTGACGACCCCAAACCCAGAGGCGAGCTGAAGTCTAAGACATAAACCCAGGAAGCCGAGCAGGAAAGCAAGTGAACTGAAAGCCTGCTTGACCCTGCGCTCGGTTCGCTCCTTGCCGGCTTCCCGCCACCAGTTGTGTTGCAACACCTGTCCAGCATCTTGGGGGGCATATGCAGTCGTTCTAAATGGCGCTTGGCCTTTAAGTAAAGCCTAACACCCATAGTTCAACCCTAAGTCTTAGGGTTGAACTATAGGTCTTAAGCTTAAATACTCCAACCACGTTCCGAAGCCCAGGACATTCGTAACCGCCCGTGCACCACCCTTAAAGCTCATGCGCAACCCTGCGCCGATAACTTAGCCCGTAAAGTCCTCATCCTGCCAGACGCCGGAACGCGCGTCGGGAAAGTACCCCACAGCCAAAACCCAAAGCCCACCTAGCCTGGTTGACCATCGGCCGGTCCTGTGGTGATTCGACTTGCACAAAGCTGGAGTAGGGTTCAGAACTCCGTGTGTTGCTGATTTCAGGCTTGATATTGGGTTTTGGGTTAGGTGTAGGATTCGGGCTAGGATGTGGTGCAGGGTACAGCCGTTAAGGGTGTCTCTGGCACGCTAAACCCAAAGTAATACAGCCGATATCCGAAATCCTAAAGCCTGGAAGGGTACAAGGTCACTCCTGATAGGATGTAGCTCAAGACCTTTAGGAAAAGCGTGGGCGTTAGATCTATTGGGCCTGTGTGCAGGCACCTGAACACTGAGATGGTGGTGTTGAGTGTACTTCGCGGTGCAGACCAGCGGTGGATAGTGAGAGGTCTTCGCAGAAGGACACCTCCGTGCAGATGTCACATGCCTACTCGGGAACTTTAGGGTCTTCCTGTAGCATACTCAGACACACACACACACACACACCCGCACACACACACACACCATATGGAGCCTGAAGATAGCTCAAAGACTCAAAGCCTAAACTCTTCGGCTTCGACCCGAAGCTGCATCCCAAGCCCGAATATTTATGGAAGGCCGGCCGAAAAAAGAGCTGCTGCCGGGTGGCTCGGAAGTTCCCAGCCATCATGTGCTGCACCAAGTTCTGCAAACACTTGAGGGCTCAGGGCTGAGGTCATGCTTGCACACAGGGTCGCTGTAAGAGATCACGAGATGGAGTTTGCTCGGGGCTGGGTCGTCGAATTTGGGTCTGCAACGCTCCTTAGTTCTGAGTCCAACAAAATCGGGCCTGCAACCCTATCAGACCCATGTCTGTGCCGACAAACCTGATTGTGACCCGCAGCATGTTTTCGCACGGCAGAATCCCCCCCACACCTGGAAAGAGAGGCAGTTCTCCAGCGGCTGCCAGTCGACCAACATCCTCAACACCGCCAGCTTCAGGCTGATACTGTTGAAGTTTTAAAGCGAGAGTCGATGGCCGGAAAAGCCAGGCGAGGCCTCACGGTTCGCAGTCGGACTACACCAAAAAAAAATGGGCGATGAGCGATGACTCATGTCAGGCAATAACTCCGAATGACTTTTAAGGCTTTGGGTTTAGGAGTTCAGGGCCTTGGGAATCAGGGTTGATGGCATTAGAGTGAAATACAGGCGTTGGAATCGAACCTTGGGTCTCGTCTTCGATATTGTCTCGCAGTCATCTGCGACTCACCCGCACTTTCGAACTGCAACTTGCCTGGCACTGTCTGGGACTTGCATGGCATGCCTAGTTGCGGAGCTACAGCTCGTAACCATATCGCATGTTGGGTGCAAGATGCCTGGCCGCTTAAGGCCGCAGAAACCGAAGTGCAGAAGCCGTACACCTTGAGCCTTGAAAAAAACTCGACGCCGAAACCCCACCCGAGCTCCGCACCCACATGTCTGGGCCTTGCAAAGTCACAGGGGCTTGTTTTGCTTGGCGAATCCTGAAGCCATCTTATGCGGCTTTAAGGGTGCTTGTTGGATTGCTTCAAAAATGCCCGAATTCTCGACCACCCACAAGACAACGCAAGGTCAGAGATCCGGCTGATCTGCCCTTCCTTCTACTACTTGCCTGAACATTTCTCCCGGCTCCAGCACACCAGGCCGTGTGTATCAGAGAGACTATGGCAAAACCAGCTGGATGCCCTAAGCCGGAAACTGCGGAACCTCATCACCTAGGCATAGAGGCTCCTTTCTTACCTTACGGGGGGTTTAAGGCGCTGACTGTGATGTCTGTCGGGTTTCGACTTCGGCTTCTCTTGGGTCCGGAAAGCTCCAGATTCAGGGCAGTCGAAGTCCATAATGCCCTTCAAACCCCCATCCTTTAAGAAAGGTGTGGCCGTGTGGCAAGGCTGGGGTGTCGGGTCCCTGCCTGCAGCTGCTGGACCGTCTGCCCTTCAAAGGCACGCCGCCTCAGGCTGCGGTCGCGGGTCACGGGGTGTCGGCGCGCGGTCCTGGAGGGGGCACATCTACTACGCTAGGTACGGACGGCCAGAAGGAGCTTCAACTCAAAAGCACGTTGACGAAATGTCTTTACTTCTCAACCCTGACCCTGGCCCTGAGCCTGGAAGCCTCAACCATGGAGAATACGAACCCCCACTTCTTCTCAAAGCCTGTGCAATCCGGAAAGACTTGTCCGCGCTCCAAGCAGCTGGTGCAGGCAGTACATGTTGTAAAACCTGAGTCCATATGGCTTAATGTCGGGGCTTTGCGATCGAGGGTTGAGGAATACGAACTGTTGATTTTCGAACTGTTGATTTTCGAACTTGTCACTCTCAGAAATCTTGAAAAACAGACCCGTTCGCCCGCCCTGACGTTGGCTTACTTTTTGATTTACACTACCTGCACGAATACCCGTTTTACCATCCAGCCCCATCGCACTAGGGTTTCATGGATAGGGTTGAGGGCTGAGGGGCTTCAGGCACCGAGGCTGAGGCCAAAACCCTGAATCCCTCAATCCCTACGCAACGAACCGAAGGAATTGCAGCCGAGGCGTGACATTAAGCCTCGCATCCCCAAAGCCCCATCGCAATCCCAAGGCCAACTTCTACGAAGCAGACGCCGGACAACGTCTGAGGCTAGCACAGCACGCCTCGGATCGCAGCTTCGGAATGGGGTGGAGGGCAGGAGCAAGCGGACCAGACGCGAGGCTAGTGCACAATGTAGGGGTCCTAAGGCATAGAACAGGATATTGGTGGTGAATTAAGGAATAAGATAGAACGAGTATACACACAATATGTAAGCATATGGAAAAGGGGACAGCAACTGCATTTATCGAAGCGTCGCCGGATTTAGTGTTTGAGGGCTCTTCGGGACTCAGGGCCTTCGTTCAGAAGACTTGGTGGTGACTTCGGGTTCAGAAGTTCAGCGGTAGAATTCGCATCGAACCGGCAGGCCCCAGACCCGAAGTGCTTCGGTTTAGGGTTTACGCTCTCACAACTCGGACAAGCCAGGCGAGGTTCATAAGTGCAGAGTCGGTGTGAAATGGGACTGATTGGATTCTCACTTGTGCCGGTTTAGGGTTTAGGGTTTAGGGTCTCGACATGTCTTGCTGCCCCGAGCACACCTCTGGAATTGCTTTGCAGCCCTCAGGTTTGGCGGGTATGGGTACGGGGATGGATTCTTGTAGTGTGGAGGCGGAAGCTCAACCGTCAAATCTCACACTTCAGATACTTCTGAAAGCAAGCCGCCCATGGAGAAGATGTCACCTTTGCAGGTCCAAACACCCTTGGTCCAGACCTGATGCGGTTGGGCGTTCCGGCTGCCAGGCCTCTATATCTATGACCTCCGCCAATGTGTGAAATTTACGCAGGTTATTGGGGGCACTCTGCCCTCCTCAAACTTGTAAGAAAGTCCCCCTTTGAAGACAAAACTTGTATTTTCTGGAGCGACAATTTTAACAGTCGGATTTGGGGGCTTGGGGGTTTTGGGCTTTGCGCTTCGGGGCTCGGGATTTGAGTTACTTGTCTAGCGCCTTACGGCTTTGAGGTGCTGGGCGCAGTTTCCAGAAGCCACCGGGACATTAACCCCTAAGCTCTACCTACACACCAGGAATCGTAGCTTTCAACACTTGGCTAGGCCTCGGGTGGCATGTATCCGGGTGTGCCCATCACGCCGGAACTGCCCTTCCTCAGCGGCGCAGGGGCAGTTGGGCCTTCGTGTTCGGGAGTCGTTATGATGTCGGCAAAGGTCGCCATGCTGCCAGGGCTGGCTGAAACTTGTGGATGGGTCATGGGCTCATCTCGCCCTGGACAGCACCAGCCTTTAGATGACATGTTTCTACAAGAATGAGGCTAGTAACTGCTGAGGGAACAAGTTTCGCACGAGTTTTCAATCCTCAACTGGCCTCAGACATAACCCCGCTCAGCTCAAGTGCTCGACCCACTCCACGCAAATGAACTCACAGACCCTGAACACCACAGCTTATACAAGTTAGCCCAGGTTAGCTATAGGGCTTGCAAAAAGGACCACATTGCCCGGAAAGGGTCTAAGGCCACCCGCTGGCACCTGATCTAGAACAGGTCAACAAACCCAACATACCCAGAATGCTGCTAACCCCAAACCCTTTGAACTAAATCTCTGCCTGGTGTCCGGAAGTCCCGGGCTAGGCCGAAGTCGATGACCACCACGTTCCTTGGGTGCAGTCTTTTTTGGCGGCGGCATTTGGAATTCAGGATTCTCGGTTCAGGCCGTTGTGTTCCGACGACGACAACAACAACATGCACACATCACCACCATGATCACGATCGCAGCATCTACTGCATGCGTAAACCCCGCGCCGTAAACATTACCGGTACCCGATGACTGAAACAACGACCGTGGCTCGGATTCAGCCAGTCCGTGTCCCCTGAAATCATGACGTTCGCCTCCTTGATGTCGCAGTGCATAGACTTTTTGCTGTGCAGGAACATGATGCCGGCCTCAGGCACGAAGCCGACCCAAAGCCGAGGAAGACATCGAGATGAAGGCAAATCAAATCCTGCACGCCGACCGACATGGGTGACACCGACAAGACCTCCAAGTCCAAGTCCCCTCCTCTCCTGCGGCTGCGGCCGGGTTGCACAAATCTGCTTCAGGATACCGGCCAGCCAACTCCTAGTCTCTAGCGGCTCAAAGCTTTGTTTCCGTCCTACAAGGCTTAGGATTCAGGCTTTGGCCATACACAAGTGATTACGGCAATATACAGGCTCCAGCACATTCACAATGAAGCAGGTAGTTACTCGTAAGTTTATCTACAGCTTTAGGTTAGGGGCTGTAGGCTTGGAAAGCATGGCAAAGTGGCTCCAAGTCTCCGTGTTAGACACTGGAAACAGAAGCTCATCCACTGAATCTGCAGAAAGACTTGCTGTTGCTGTGGGGGCTCTGGTTGAGCGCCACGCCGCGCTCGGTGGCCTCAGTGCAACGCAACACGGAAGGAGCTATCATAATAAATGAGAATGCCTACGTCTCCAAATTCTCAAAGCCCTTCACCCTGGTAAAGTTGCATCAAACACCACCCGCTACTGTGTGTCTCAAACGGGTTTGCTTTCAGTACTGCACGATACCATCGCAACAAATGCAAATGCCCACAGAATCTACAGCCCGGTACAGCAAGTCGACACCTCTGAACACCAGCCCCTGAGCCCTGAAGAGGGCCTAGACCGTCCCCTTAAGAGGTTCGTTCCCAAACCTAAGGCCCATGAGCCCTCGATTCTAGTTAAAGCCCATAAGCTCTTGAATCCATCAATGATCTCAACACGTTTTGAAGAGGGGCTGCCGTGCACATGACGTCACCCCGCAAACCCTAAATCTGAACGACCAAGAGAAGCCTAAGACCCTCACAAACCCCGAGAGCCTCAAAATCGACTTTGTCCCTAAACCCTTTCGGAAAATCCCCCCCCCCCCCCGGCCTTCTGAGCACAGGTTGTGAGATCACCGCCGAAGTAGGGCTCGCTCACCACATAGATGTACACATGGTCCTGGAAGGGTAGTATTCAAGGTTCCTTGAAGCATTAGGAATTGAAAAATAAGGGCGGTCATGATTAGAATAAAGGTTTGGTGCGCATTACAGCAACGAAATGCTAAGAAACCCTGAACCTTAAACTCCCGTATCCCGGGGTCCTTGTAGCAAGGGTCCTAGTATTTCGGGTCTATATTTCAGTGCCCTGTTGTCAACCTGGACTACCCTCCGTGTCCAAGTTCCAATCGATTGTGTAAGTACTATTGGCTTAGGCTAGCTTCGCAGGATGCAACGCTCGGGCTCGTCTTTCAACGGGAGTTGGGTGCAAGGTTCCGGAAGAGGGCGTGAGCGAGCTGGGCTTGAAGGCTTGCCTGGGAGACTTCGGGCGTGACACAGGCCTTGGAATATGGGGCTGCTGAGCCTTCTTGCGACCATGCTACAAATTGACTGAGTCTTTACAAATACTACAGCAACCCAGTGCCCAAGGAATCCTGGGTGTGAGAAGCTGTTTGGTCCTCTTATTTCAGGACGGGGGTTTCGGACCACCGCCCCAGTCCCAGCTTGGAAGGCTCTTAACGCCCCCAGCGCCAAATTGAGTCGTTGCATGCCAAGCCCTCAGAACGCAAGCCGAGGTGCAACAAGGCGTTGCCCTTTCCCCAAGTTCCGGTGCCCTGAATTGGCCCTAAATCCCACCTCTCTCTCTCTCTCTCTCTCTCTCTCTCTTCTTCCCCGGGGCATGAGGGGTGTCTGAAGCCCCTCGGCCTTGAAGGCCCCCCCGATGTTCGTGGGGCTTTTGGAGGAGCGTGAAAAGCTGAGTGTTTCCCCTGTTTTAAGGCGACACACGAGTATGTTGAAGTACATGCTGTTCAGGGTGCGACACTCGTAGGAAATGGCTTCACAGTTAACGACTAAAACGGGAGGTCCCCACATGCCTGAACGGAAAACTCTCACGACACTACACTGAGGCTGCATACACACGCAAGTAGGTCCCCCCTCGGAGATCGGGAAGAAAAACATGCTCCCACTGCTTCGAGTGAGTGTTCTCGGATTGCTTTCAGTTGGATCAGAAATGAATTAAATGGCCTCCCGAGTCCCCCGAATTCATGCTAGAGTCGCCTTGTACATGGTGCGTTGAAAAGAAACTAGGATTGCATGGCCAATATGGGCCACTCGGATCGGAGTGGGTTTACCTGAGAAGGGCCAAGGATTTGCCTTGACCCGTTAAAGAATTCACACCTCGCAGCAACTTCGTGTTGTGACCAGAAAGCACAGGGTTATGCATTGTTCAGCGATTGCCTGCAACGTACTTCAGAAAGCGAGCCTCCACAGCAACGTAACAGCTAACATTCGTACACCGCAAACAAACTGCTGGACCTGAAGTAAGGTGCAAAGCGTGCAACTCTATACAACCATCTCTCTCTCTCTCTGTGTCAGGCCAGGTCGAAGGGCAACATCTGTGCCACTCGTAAAACTACAGATGGGATAACTGTAGTTTTACGATTATCCTATCTGTAGTTTTAGGATAATCGTCAAACTACAGTTATCCTATCTAAATCCCACCTAAACCCCTAAACCCTAAACCCCAAGCATGGACGCACGGGGCGGCCTGAAACACTTCGTAAAGCCGGGCGATCTTCGGATGGTCCAGAGATGTGAGGAGGTTGAACTCCTCGAGACTTCCGGGTGTCGGAAAGTGTAGGGTGTAGACAGGTTCCAGCCGGAGGATTGGAGGATTGGAGAGTTTAGCTAGGTTTCCGGCCTGGGTGGCGTAGGATATACGGCCCCTACCGCGGAGGATTCTACGGATTTCGGCCGGGCTGCTGACGTTCAATGTTGGGACTGGGGCTGAGCGCCTCGCATCACAAGAGGCATCACAAGCCGGGCTTTACTAGTATGTCAGGAGGATTGCAAGCCGCGGGGGGTCGACTGGCTAGGGTTTAGGGTTCAGGGGTTTAGGGTTGACACTGGATCTGGGGTCAAAGATTTTCGAAAGGACGCGTGGGACTGAAAAGCAGTTTGTTTGAGGTTTGCTTGTCTGCTGTTTGACAGGTTTTCTGTGCAAATTCAGATGTCGGGCAAGTCAAACCCCACCTCCTCGTACTCCCTCCTTTTTTCCCCCTGCTACTTCTGCTGCTTCTGCTGCTCATGATGCTGAACTGCTTGCCGTTCTTAGCCGGAGCGGTGCCGTTGTGGTTTGTGTGCATCCCAGGGTCCTCCACGATGTCCTCCACCGGTGCATTCCTTAGATCGCTGCTTGTGGCTGGAGGCATTCAGGTATGTTGGCCGGGAAGGCCCTCGAGTTTACCATGCATTTTAAAGAGTAGGCGCCAGATCCGCGGAGCAGGAAGACAAGCAGAAGCACCTAGAAATGTAGTGTCTGTGTGCGTGTACGCCCTGAGTTTCAGAAGAAGTTGGAGGGATGCAAAACAGTGCTCGAAAATTGAAAAGTGCGCTGCTTAAACTTTACACCAGGGTTCTGAATCCGCGACAACCAGGTTTCCTAACTTTCAACATGGAGCAGACAAGTACCCCTAAGACCGACTGCTTCAAGATCCCATCCTTTCTCGCCGCAATGTACAAAAATGCAGGCCATGACTTGCTGGCGCAGCAAGGTGAGCGGCGGCGAAGCGCAACCAAAGCTTTTCACCGTTAGCAAGAGGTCAGCAAAACGGGAATGTGTGAACGTACATGCGTGAAAAGCGCGGAGGGTCAGCCAAGCTGCGCGCAACTCTTGTTGTAGAACTTGACCACTCGCTTCCTTGGCTGTTTGCGGTAACGGCCTATCAGCCCGAGATGCAACCACGTGCTTTGGCAGGCTGAACGACTAATTCCAGCTTTGGGGTGACTGCAGGGGTCAAGGGTTGGGTCCGAAAGTTACCCAGCAATGATCTTGACAATTGAAAGCTCAGCAACTAGATGGCCCGGCTCGCGAAGCTTCCCCCTTGAGACCCTTCAACTTCAAACAGTTCCTGTCGTGGTGATGTTCTTGGGTTTGGGCTTTTCTTCAGCTTTTCAGTCGGGGGGAAACGTGTCCAAACTTGTGAACTTAGGACGCTTCGGACCTTCGGTGACCTTCAGACATCAGGACGTATGGGCGGGGCCTCAGGTTGTTTCCAGTTGCCAAGCCTACATACCACAAAGCGCTACTTGAGAAAAACGTCCTGGAGCCGTTTCTTCTAGCCATGAGCTGAAGCTCAAGACCACACCTGGACCCCCCAACTATGCTTTACTAATCCTCAAGCACAACCACTGGCGAATCCCTTGATGGCGTTTCAAGTCTCAGTTTGCTGCTCCGGTCGGTGGCCAGATACACGGCACCCTGGCCGCCCTGTCCCAGCTTCTTCCTTGGCTGTGGGGTCATCAATCTTCACCCCAGACACTTCGAAAGCACCCTGCACCCCATAACTATAACCTTAGCCCTCCGGTACTTCGGTGCGTATTTCGCTTTAGTTGCGGGCCGAGTACTGGAGCACTCAGGACTTGGGTTCTGGGCTGAGTGCAAACGTGTGTTCTCCAAAAAATAGGCGAGCCCCAACCGACACGCTGGGAACTGGCACCCGAGACAGGGACCACTGTCATGGTGCCACATGCACAAGGCAGAATTCCAGGGTGCCGAGGCTTGAGCCTTAGACCTGGAAGGACCTGCCATCTGGCCACAACAAACCTGGCAGATGCCACCAGGCCCTCGACCTTAAGCCCTGGAGCCCCAAGCCTCAAGCCCTTAAATCCTCAACCGTAACGCATCTCGAACTCAAGAACCCTCACATGCTGGGGATGGAGTCCCTCAAGTGCCGAAACCCTTCAAGAGACCATCCTCAAGCCCAAGCTCCCTCCATATGCCCTGATACCAGACTCCCAAAGGCTCGACAGCCCGAAACCGCTCAGGGCTTGGAGTTTAGTGTTGTTTTTTAAGCTCCTTTTTACGTCTACTCGACTTTTTTTCCCTCCTACCTAGCAAGGACGAAGCCCGCATTGCAGGGTGTCTCGGTTGAACAGTTGACTACAGCCGCGTGTTTCGATATTCAGTGTTTAGGGTTTAGGGTGGGTTGAATCGGCGCCGCTCCTCAGAGAACTTCCGAGCGGCTGGAGGACAAAGGCCTGGTCCAGCTGCTTAAAGGGGATCCTCGGAGGACTTTCAGCTGAACCATGGGTGAAGCGTTGGCATAATGCTCGGTGCAATGTGGGATACTTAGGGTTCAGCTGAGAGGTTTCGACTCGCACGTTCGCACATCCAGGCAACAAGTCCGAACCTATCGTGTGACAGAGCTGATTCAACAACAGAAACGCATAACATCATGTAAGAGCCCAAACGATTACCACCACGCAAATGACAAGGCCCCAGTGAAATCCACTCGGGAGGACCGTGCGAAGCAATAAGCTAGATAACATGGTATGGAAACATACGAGAGCAGGAAGAGCACGGCACCACCAATAGATCTCAATCGCAGGCACGGGACAGGATGCACTGCACATGTGACATCCTCCAGCCCTATGACACCGCAAAGAAAGGAAGGCTTCTCCATGACGAAGAAACTGTACACATGCGAGGAACGACATGTAGCATTCAGAGCAGCCTCTGAGGACAATTGCTCCAGCACGGAAGGTGCGAGTCCCACCAGTATGTTGGCACGTCCTGCACCACCCATGCCAGACAGGTTCAGAGCTCCACATCTCCAACATTCATAGAACGTGGCCCGCACGCACCAAGACTTCCAGCTCCAGGGACAGTGACACAAACGGATCGGGTCACAACGACGCTTGCCTTGTCGCAGTGCGATGTCTGAAACTTCCTCCACCCCGACGTTCCTCTGTTGGGATTCGAGCTGGACACAACCCTTGTTTTTTCATCCAGCCTGCAGAAGCCTCTGCCGGGAACTAAATGAGGGCCTAGAGCAAACCTTCAAGTCTGCCGTCACTCATCAGGTATGACTTCAAAGGATGCAGCGTGGACAACTCTTGAAGCTCCTCCACCGGTCTCGAAATGACTGCAAGATTTGACTCCAGATGATGCTGTGTGAGACTGACGTTAACTACAAGGAAGTTGTACTGCATCTGACAATGCGTCAACGATGTCATCAAGTCAGAAGTTTCAAAGTCGCGCCCGAGTGAGTGCTGCTGAAGGCCAGACACGAAACCCTAAACCCCCAAAAAAATCTTAAATCAAAGGGAAAAGGAGGGACCCTTAATGGGGACCGCTACCCAAAAATGGGCAATAGAATGGGTATATAATAGCATATTAAGGGCCTTTGACTAAAGGTCCGGCTCTGGTCGGCATTGCTGGAAATGGGCCGGCCTAGTTCTCTGGACAAGCATGCGGGGTCTGAAAAACCCAGCCACGAACCTCGAATCCCATACCCTCAAGCCCCCAAAACCCCTGAATCCGCAATCTCTGTTCCCTTACCGTCTTTGGGCCCAAAAGCCTTAATATATGAGTCCTTAGATCCCTAGAAATTATGATACATGAAATGCACCCCTAAACCATGAAAAGCCAGGGCCAGGCTTCGACTCTGCAGAGAAGTCTGGAACGGGCCTCGGGGCCGCCAGGCCGCACGGCTTCTGAGCCCTATCCCGTCCTGCTAGACAATAACTGATGGGAGGCCAAATAGGGGGTTTAAGATTCTTGGAGTAGGAATTCCTTAATATGAACCCTAATATGAGAACCCTAATCCCTGCTAAACCCCCATAGGCTAAAACACCTTTTGGCCTCCTACGAGTAGAGAACATGCTCAAACTTCGAATCCATCTCAAGGATGGCTCTTCATGCTCAGAAGACCCCTCAACCTCGAAGCCCACTGCTCGATCGGCTCTTTAGTCCTGGTTTCGAGTTTCTAGACTGAAAGGATGCCGCTGAACCTAATATAGGGGCCTTAATCAATAGAATAGGCTTTGGGCCCATTATACTATAGTTACAGTGGTTGCTGCTTCCACTAGAATGACAGTTGAAACATCCGAGGTGCTGCATGGGCACAGCCTGGGACTGGTTCTGTTGCCTCTGCAGACCATCCTTCGGAAGGCTTGTTATTTCGACTCTCGCAAGGCGGGCAAGGCTCCACATAGTCCAAGCGTTTAGAGCTCAGGGAGGCTGTTGAGATCAGTTCTGACCTTTTAAGATCCTGTTACAAGGAGTGTCAATACCAGAGGCTACTCTTTTCCTAGGTACGGGTCCAAGGCTTTGGGTGGGGATCTCGCTTTTGGCAGATGAGGCGTTGAGATCTGAAGTTTCAGGTGTTGGGCTCTCGTTGTGTCAATATTGTTCCAGCTGGAATCCATACAGGTTTGTTAGAAGTTTCAGTAAAGTGTGTTGAGGTGTCCAAATGACACCCTGTCAAGGCTTTGGGCAAATTTGGGTTGGGATAAGCATGCTCAAGGATCGAAATCCCGGGTGCAGGGCTTCTCTCGTGCGCCACAACTACTGCATGCACAGGTGTCGTGGGGGTTGGACAGCGACTGCAGGATCTCCGGTGTAAAGCAAGTTCCCCTCTCAAGGCTCAGGGCATCTCCTAAACAAGCTCTGCAGGGCAGGATATCCGTGCTTGATATGGATGCTTAAACAAGGAAACCTAACGAGCACCACCGCTTTCTGGCAGTATTGTCCGTTAGGCCAGACTTTCTTTGCATCTTTCTTTGGCCGACCTGGATTACGGGAGTTCCTGACTTCAAGATACTAGTTACTAGCAGAGCATCGAAAACAGCGAATCAAAACCACGTGGTGAAACTTACCCATTGCGAGGTTTAGCCTTCAGCCCCAAAGACAAACCCCCGCTGTCGCACAGCTGTTGCGGCCCGAGTCTCGCGGAAGACTCGTAGCATGTGTGTGATCCTCAGCTCTGCGGCAGAAGCACCGCACGAAATGCACAACCCCGCACACAGAGTACAAAGCCTCATGTAAGTAATGAAGGCACCGCTCAATATGACAACCCTACCCCCTTTGCCTTAGAACCCCTATGCAACCCTTATATAGACTCCCTATGCAACCCTTATATGACTTATATAGACTCTACGTAGGCGCTTCCAGCAACCCCAGTCTTTTGCTCAAAACCGCAACAGATGATTTTCAGACTACCAAGGCGAGGAGCAAGTGCAAGGCCTCGGATTCATCCAGCTCTCCGTCTCCCGAGAAGTCATATCGATGAAAAAGCACCTTTGGGTGTAGGGCTTAAGGCTTAGGGGTTCGATTGAGGGTACCACAAGAGCTGCCAGGAGGGCTTGAGAAAGGCCCTGTAAAGCCTCTGTAGAGTTTGAAGGCTTAAGGCCTTGGGCACGGGTTTACGCTGGGGATAACCTGCAAGTTAGGGCAGCGCTGAGGCACAGAGTTGGGACCGGAATACGGTACAGCCAAACGGCCTCCGGTTTCGGGACCAGGATGCCTTGCAGTTTGCAGCAGGTGCACCCTAATTAAATATCAGCAATAATTCCCGAACCTAGATTCCAAGCGAAAAACTGCAGGAATTGAATTGCCAAACCATGAAACCGAGCAAGCTCCAAGTTGAAGAAGCCGAAATCACCACCCCCAAAGGAACCTCACACCCCGCCTAGAGTCAAAAAATCCTGCGCTTTCAAAAAGATGATGTGCTGAAAACGTCAGGAGAACCTTTCCAATGACTCCAATATCCCTTAAAGGAAGCAACGTGCCTGAAGTGAACCTTCCCAAAAAGACACGGATGTTAGGGTCCTGGCTGTTAGCCGAAAAGACAGCATCAAACCCTGTACAACTTTGTTACAAACCCTGTTCGATGCGTAACAGAAGCAAAAAAATACTTCGCACCTGGATGTCACCAAAGGCCGTGGGGTCAACACCAAGCTGTGCCCCAAGGGAGAAAGCAAGGCCGTGGACCTAGGTCAGGGTTTAAGCTTCGACTCTCCCAGCTTGGACACTCCGGGCGGGGAAAGGCTTAGGTCCAAGGGAAAAATGAGGGACCCTTAATAAGGACCCCTAGGTATATACCCTTCATATAGCTATTATATACCCATTATATAGCCCCATTATAGGGTAGGGGTCCCCATTAAGGGTCCCTCCTTTTCGCCTTTGATTAGGACAAAGGGTTCAAGTTTATAGTTCTAGGGTTTCGGTGCTCACACTCGGACAATCCAGGGGAGGCAAGGTTCAGGGCTGTAGAGTCTAGCACGGTAAATGCCTTAGTTGATTGTTGCTTTGGGATTTTGAAAATGTTTTGGGCTGATATAGTTGCCTCCATAATTAATGAGCATAGCGACAGGATATTAAATTCGCATTCTAACAAGGAGCCTTCATCAGGAAACGTATCACTCGTTGTTCAGAAATCTATATTGGAGTCTCGCTCAGGATCAAGAGGTTAGGGTCACGGCTTTAACTCATTTGACGATTCGCGTGGCTGAGCGAAAAATGTACTGGAGGGGTCTTGCTCATTAGGTTTTGGGGGTTTCGGTGTCATTGCCTTACAGTTATGTACGGAGTACAAGGAATACTGTTCGTAATGTGGTCCTATATTAAGAGTCTTTGACTTCGGCAAGTTCTGACAACATGCGAAGGGGAGTGTCGCAGGGATCTGGGAGAAGCAGATTCCACAATGACATAGACATCGACATGCTTTCATGATCGTAGACTCTGCTCGCCCTCACCCGGAAGCCCCAAACCCGCGGCCGAGGTCCCCAAAAGCTGCTACCTCTGGTTTCCATGGATGCGGGCCGGGGAACATGTAACAGACCGCGCACGGGAGCAAAGTAGTACTGCCTGGACCCCCAAGAATGAAGTGGGACCCTAAACCTTAAACCCTAAGCCCTCTCCTCCGCACCCGCCGAGCGCACCTCGTGCGGCTGCAGCTTCCGATCCGCGCCAGAATACTGGTGAAAGAGCTCTTTGACCTTCTTCTCCTCAGCTTTATTGTTGAGATTTGTGGATGGCTCCTCTTTTGAATGCTTAACTGTAATTCGGGTTAAAGTCTTTCTTTAGGGTTTCGGATTTGGGGACTTTCGGGTCCAGGGCTGTGGGGCTCTTGGGGTTTGGGGCTTCAGGTGTGTGGGGCTGCGTTCGCGGTATTACGAGCTTAGAGCCTTATCCTCGCACGATGCGGTGTCATGGAGTTCAGTCGACTTGGTCCAAGGTTTCAGGGATGAGGTCGAAGGGCGCGTCAGGTTCGAGTTCTTCCACGATGAGCTGTTCATACCAATTGGTAACAAAGCAGCAAACCTACTTGAGAACCATGCTCCTCTCCCACGAAATACGGCTGGATGATGACACTGAACATAACTTTGGAGCACCGGGTTGGTGTAGGAAGAGGAGCATGCATTCTGTATCCGACGTCTGCTGGCTCGAATCCCCTACACGGACAGAAAAGGGCATTAAGGAGGCGAAGCCTGTGGTCAGGTGGACTGACAAGGGCCCCAGCTGAACAACAAACTACTACTGAACATTACTTCATGCTTATTGGTGCTTATTGTTATGGTATCAGTGACGATCAATGGTTACCACGGCTACAAGAAAGAAGCAACTGGCGAGACCAGGAGTGCTAACACGAGCCAACAATAAGCTCGTAGGAAGAAGAACGAGGGCTTTGGCGAGTATCCAAGGCGACCTTGTCTCTGAGTAACCTGGGAGCACATGAGCACGCGGTTTTGAGAGAAGGTCGGACCTCACAGTGTAGGGCTTAGAGCATCGGTGTTTAGGGCCTCGTGGCTTGGGTACGGTTGGGCTTTTTGAAGGCTTTGGGATTGGGGTAGAAGTCGGTAGAAGGTTTTTGTCTTGTCTATGGGGTCGGCAACAGGCCCGACCTCCAGGGCGACTACCACTGAGATCCATGCCGGCAGGAACGAAAAGTACCACCAAGCTTGGCAGATCAGCAACCCCGAAAGGAACCATTCTTCGGAAATATGTGTCGCTGTGTTTTGGGTTAGGTCACAGCGTAGTTGCAGCGTCAGCAGCCGCAGGGGCAGTAGCATGGCAGCAGCAGTGGCTGTAAGTATACAGCAAAAGCATAGCCTTACGTCTAACACTCTAAGCCCTAACCGGTACGAAGTCCCGTTGGGCAGCTCCTTGACTCAAATGTCAGGAGCTTGGCAATCAAGGCTTGAGGCATCGCAGACTCCATTGAGAGCTTGATGTCTGAACACCTAGGCCTAGAAGCTCCAAGCTCAGAAGTTCCTCTGGCCCGAAAGCTGCATGAGCTTTCACAACCCGAAACGCTTCAAAACAGCCATAAGCCCCTAGACCCCCCATTGCCCTTTGGAATAAAGAATGCGAATCTGGAGGGAGAGGGATGCAACTCAAAAGGCGCCTGTACAAATAGGGCCAGAGCTGACAGGGAGCTGCACCCAGGAACTCTTGGCTGTGGGCAGTGGTGAGCTTTGCATCGCTGCCTCGGAGCACCGCTTGCATTCCGGTGGTCCTTGTTGGCATATTAGAATATACTACACTTTAGTTTAAATTTACTATAATTTACTGTACTATAACGTAGGTCAGCGGCTTTGGGGAGGGAGAGCTCAGCTATGAGGGGTCTCAAGTCAAGGGGACCAATATATTCTTGCTTCAGCTACCGAACCGATGATCAAACACAGGGGCCTTAGTAAGTAGAAGTCGGATTTAAGAGGCCGGAAGGGCACGGTGTTGCTACCGGCCATCTTGGAGGGTCTCTGGTTTCGGCGCTCACACCCGGACAATCTGGGCGAGGCATGTGCTTCGGGGTCTGATGCGTGAAGCTGACAAGCTTTGATGAGAAAGGCCGGCAACAACAGACACGGCACGTATCATAGCAACCTGCTAAGAGAGGATGGTCTCTGGTTTGGGGCTCGGAACTGTGTCCAGGTCCAGGGTTGTGACATCGTGGGCCGCAGATTGAAAACAGGCAGTGCGCACGTTTATTGCCGGTGCTTTCGCAATCACGGCTTGCAACAACCCAGAAGAAAACTCAAGCCTTACCGAAACAAGACCTTTATGGCTCCCTCCTGCATCGATAGATCGAACCCTGTGATTTGGCAGTGAATGGGTGTGAGCCACTCGCACCGACAAAAACTGTCCACAGCGCACAGCCGCTGAGCAGAAACCAAGACGCTTGGAGTTGCTTCAGGTCACCATACCGCTGGCCCTATCGGAACACACGCTTCGCTTAGAGGATCTCAGGGGCACCAGAGCCGTAAACACTCGCAACTCGGACTCGCGAGACGAGGTCTCTCGGTTCGTGTGACACAGACTCCAGACACTGAAGTTTGTTTACCCTCAGTTCGTCACTACAGTAGGTTCGGAGCCCGGCTGAGAAACACAGCAACAGAAGTTAAGGCCATGCACACCCCGGCTCCGAACAAAGTTCCGGTGCCTTGAGGATTTCTGTTGGTTTCATGAAGGGTTTCGCTGAGGCTTTAGGACTATGAAAGTTCCGGTGCCTTGAGGATTTCTGTTGGTTTCATGAAGGGTTTCGCTGAGGCTTTAGGACTATGAAAGCGTTTAGATTAGGCTTTTTGCTGTCGGTGCTTGACGATGTCTCAACCCGGACTCGTGGCTAGAGCTTGGGGGTCACCACCGGGCCTTGTAGATGTACTGCGCAGGCTGCCCAACCTCAGCGACCAGGGCCGAGGGCGCAGGGGTCTGGCAGCCCAGTTACCTCACCCCTGCAACGGGCAAAGGACCTGCTTGAAGGTTTGCAGAAACACCCTGAAACCTAAAGCCTAGCTCTACTCCTGAAGGCCTAAAGCCTCCGCCCGTAAGCCCTAAGTCCCAAAGGCGGTGTTCGAGGGCCTTGGCGGTTTCGGATTGCCAAACATCCACAGTCCCCCCAGCTGCCCTACTTGCAGCGCGATTGCACATCCCCCAAGACCGACTGCGAAATCCTCCCGTTCAAACACACACACACACACACACACACACAACCGGAAGCAAACGAAACCCGAACCACGAAGCCCGAACCCGTGAGCTTGAGCAAGGCCAAAACTTCCGGAACCACGGGCTCAAGCCGAAGCCCCTGCCCCCACAGAACACTCATACCCAAGCCAGAGCCCCAAGCCCTAATGACATCACACCTTCAAACCCCATTCCATGAACCCCAAGCCCAATCCCCAAACCCTAAACCCTCCGTAAAGCTGTAGGCCGGGTTGCTGCAGGTGCCACCCCGTAGGCGTAGCCCGCAGCGGGCACCGGAGGAGGCATTCCCGCGTTTGGATCATGGTACATGTCGGCGCCTCGGCTCTGTTGAAGGAGGGTTTTGGGTTCATCCTTTGTTGGGTCAAATGTCTTCGCAATCGGACTCTGCCAGATGCGGTTCGAAGTCTCACGGTGAATGGAGGGTTGAAAACTGGTCATGCAGAGTGTTTTGTACACAGGTGCTCCGTGGCTAGGTGATGTGATGATTGCCCGTGGCACTGCTTAGGGGTTCGAGGCTTCGGGCGTCGGGACTTCGGGGCTTAACAGCTGATGCGAGGGAGTTCGCCTTGTTAGCGACTCCCCTCACCCCCGGTATTGTCCAGGGTGATGAGGACAACGTAATTTTGGTGAACTACATACGTATGCCGGGGGCTCAGTCACAACCAGGCGTGTCCGGTGAGTTTCCGGTGCGCACTTTCGAAGACTGAGACTCGGGTTCTGCTGCATAGCGAAACCAAACGTCTTTTGGACTCTGACTGTACGGCAACACGTTAGGCAAGCTGCCACGCTTCGCTACCATTGCTATATCTTGTTTTCACCGCCCATATGAAGAAAGCACACGGCAGCAATCGTGAGGATGATGGTGGCAGTTGTCCTGTGCGCACCCTATATACACAAATAGTGTATGTATATATGTATATGTGTATATATATAGTCGCAGATCGTGACAGGGCACGCCGTGCTCTCTGCCTGTTTCAGAAGCAATTATCTCGGCATCACGCGCCCGGGCCGCAGGCCTCCAATGTCGGAAATGCCCCTGCTGTATCTACAAGTGTAACCATTATGGCAATGTGGCAAGCACTAGAAAGGCACTGAACAAATAGACTCTGGAGCCAGATGTCTGCCTACGACTTTGGCTATCTCGGGCTGCGCAGTTCAATAGTGAGCCAGAATGGGCAAGAGCAAGAATCAGCAAATTCGTTTGTCCGGCTCAGTCCGGTTCCTCGCGTCGAAATGGGTGTGGACCAGGTGGTAGCACTACAGGTGTAACTTGGGTCGAGGAATGCAGGCTTTGTAAGACCAAGTTCAACGGTTTCGGGGCAAGCCTTGAATCGTATTGTTCCCACTGATGCTGTCACCACGTTCGCACACATTGGAAACGCTACTGTCGAACTCAGCTAAGCTCAGCCCGATGTGCTGGCTAAGGCCGGTGAACTACGTGAACAACTTAGTAGTGCCAGCCTCCTAATTTCTCCTGTGGTTGTTGTTAAATTTACTGACAATGTTCCCGCTTTTCGATTGACTAAGTTAACACAGTACGTCGTGAAGCCTTTTCCAGTGAAGTTCAAAACGAAACAACCAGAGAATAAACAAAAGGCGCCCCGGACCGCTATTGACTATTCAATTCAAGCACACGAAGCCCGTGTTACAAGCCTACTTGCTGAGGCCCCCCCTGATCCTCCAATCAGAACCCTAAACTTTATCTGTCGTTGCTCTTGGTTTGGGTTTTGGGGTTTGGGTTTGCGGATTAGCTTCGGGCAAAGGTTTAAGCTGTGCCCAGATCCTGCACGGTTTTACACTGCGATGCTTGACTCTAGGTGCAAAGACTGTCGTCCGCGTCTTCCGTACGAGCACTTCATGAAATTACTACCCTGAATCCAAAATCCTGGAACCTTTAATGTTACATCGAAACCTTAAACTTTGAATATTACACATACAACCATGTTTGCCTGTCGGCCCTTATCCCGGGTGCAATGTTCGAATCTGTAATCTACGGGCCGCTAAAAAACTCCGAGGCATCGGCTGCTTCGTCTGCTGCGGCATCTACCTGGGGTATTTTGAAAACCACGGGCTTGATGGCTTAATTGTGGTTTTGCGGGGATGGTTATGCTGTATACGTTTGCTTTCGCGGGTTGGCATGGTTCATGTTCTTGCCGACAACTGCGGATCCTACAACTCAGGTTCCGGGATTGTTGGGGGTTGGACTGACTACTGACTACTGGAGTTTCGGCGCTCACACTACTGGAGTTTAGGGGTTGCAGGGTATCAGGGTTGAGGGCTTGTGTGTTTGGGTTTGTCTAGGGTTTAACACTGCGAAGTTTTTCGACTCTCATAGCTACGCGACGCAAAAGCATTCCAGGCAAGTTTTGTGATGCCGATGGGTTTGCACGGCACTATGCGGCTGCATGGCACGCGGGTCTTCAAACAGGCTGCTGGGAAGCAACAGTGGTTTCCACGGTACCACGCCAAACACCACTGACTGTCACCAAATTGCAACAGTTTACCACATCACATCGGACCCCACATGTTCTCATTGGTGAGCCCTCCTGGCACTTGGCTGTCGGCATTGTCCGAAGCCCAAGACTCCGCACACTAGCTGATTGCAGGCCTTCATCAATAGAGCGAACGAGACAAAGTGCACGCCCCGAGTAACAACCGGAACCAAACACTAGAGAACTCTCAACAGACCAGCATGCAGAACAAGACTGTGCGTGCCCCGCACCACATCAACGACCAAGCCCAATAACCAGGTAGCTAAGCCCATAAACTTGCAGGAGGCAATCGAAAGCAGACATTATTCAAAGGAGATGCAAACAAATCTCAAACGTCAAAAATTGACACCAACAGACAGCCACTCGGGTCTTGCAACAATCGGACCCTCGGCACTAGCCAGACCTTCACGACACAATGGCCAATTTGCTCGCACACCAACACGCACGGAACCGAACTGGGGTTGCCCCTCGCCGCATCCACAACGACCAGGAAGGTCGGCAGAGAACACTTACAAGTCAGGACTCAGGACTGAAGCGAAAGCTCCTCTGCGCAGAATCAAGATGAACAGACAGCGTTCGGGGTCGAAAGTCAGCAGCAACGCCCAAAAGCCCAGCCCGGCTGTGCACCAGGCGTCCAGGCCATCGCACTCCGCACATTGACGCCGGCGGCGGGCGGCTTTGCCCTGCTTGGCCAACTTGCAGGTGTGGCACTTCCTCATGCTTGCAGCCCTGGGTGCTGGTTTTGACCCCATGCCTGGATCAGTCAAACTCTGCTCCAATACTTGCGGAACTTGCAATGGCATGGTGAGTTCGCTGCACTGCTGCCGAGCTTTGCCGCCTGCGGCACATGTGTTACCAGCTTTTGCAGTTCGGAATCTGCACACCCATCGAGCACACGTGTCTGCTATGCTTCTCGGAGCACTTCATGCACATGTTTCGGAGGCGTCTCGACCTTCAGTGCAGTCTGTGATGGCGTGTGCGCCGCCTCTTCACGCACCACACGTGCGAAACGCAAATGTGGTGGTGTCCTCGGTTGAGGCCGGTGGCAGCCCGCAGTCGAACCATCTGCCGGTGACGAGACGGGAGTCCACTCCAATTTGATGGGCTGCAAGTCGATAATCATCTGCGAAAGGGTGGCAGTGGACAACAAACGGTACGTGGTGTGTTGCTTGGCCATGTAGACAACAAATGTCAAAATGGGGACCAGGCTAACATTTATCGGGCTGTCTCCGAAGCGTTTGCAACATGCCGTGTCAATAGACACGTCAGTCACTGAGCGGACAGACAGGACGTCATCCTCAGTGCTGGCCCATTTGCCGGGTCCGCATGCTG